AGCTAGAGAGAGGAAATATTAGATAATGAGCATAGTCAACCAACAACTAGACACACTATGATGCAAAAGCTAAACAAACAGAACAGCCTTTGAAAAGGAAGACATCACAAATGCGTGGTTAAACTCAGAGAGATGGCAGTGTGAATGGGCTGCCTGGCAGGGTGCAGGCTGATAGGCCTATGGCTGGTGTGTAACAGGCTCCATGTCAGTCAGTCAGTAGTAGCAGTAGGGGGTGCTAATTAGGCCCAACGTGGCGCCCATTAGGGCTGGAATGACTCCTGTTACTGGGAGGAAGAGAGCACCTCTCTGCATGGTTAACAAATGACATGTTTTCCTGTAATGTGACCTCTGTGTACTGTATAGCACGCACAAAGGGGCTGAGCTCCCCCCCTCTGTCTCTACCTCCTCTTCCCTCTGCCCCCCTCTCTGCTTCGCTTTCCCTTATCCCTCCCATCTCCCCCTCCCCATCAGATCTCTCTCTGCCTGTGCGTGCAGACTGCTGGCTTGAGCAGAGGGAGAGGAGAGGAGGGACATTTCTGGTAGGCTAATGCCAGATGTTTGCATCTCTTCCCCCCTGGAGACCAATGTCTTCTTCATGAATAGAGCTCTCCGCTCCCAAGAGAGGATCTGACTGTGTGTGTGTGTGTGTGTGTGTGTGTGTGTGTGTGTGCCAGTAACCAAATGTCGCTAGTTCGAATCCCTGAGCAGACTAGGTCAAACATCTGTTGATGTGTCCTGAAGCAAGGCACTTAACCATAATTACTCATGTAAATCGCTTTGGATAAGAGTGTCTTTATAGATTTCACATTCTTCTTTCCTTCTCAGATTATTGTTTTCCACTGCGGAATTTCCATCACCTGCACTTTACATTGACTTTAGACAATTATGTGCATCAGAGCCATGGAGAGTGGACATTGATGCAATTAGCCAGCAATATCAATGTTTGTTGATGGTGAGTGTGAAGGAGTGGGTTGTTAAAGCCATGGAGTTTGTGTTAAACTTCCACTACAGTATGTTTGTAAGCATGTGTTGGTCTACGCTGCTAGACAGTGGCATAAGCTAGCTGTCAATCGATGTACTGTACCGTGTGCCCCTGGCAATATGCTTCAGTGACTCGTTCATAGTGCCAGGCCACAAATACACAGCGCAAACACACTCATGCACTAACACACAGAACCAGGTCATTAGCTGCAGAGGGGCTGCAATTGGGAGCTTTTCTCTATCTCTCTCTGTAACTGCTCTACCATCCCCATGTTGACTTTGTGGCAATATCAACCGTGAGACCAACAACACATAATAATCACCCTATCCAGATCCAATCCACTTTACTGAGTTTGACTGAAGAGGCGATCATATACCCAGACCTGGTGCTTCACAGAGACTGTGTGAAATGTGCTAGATATGTGCTCTTAGATATGTCCTCCTCTCTCTGCATCCTTCTCCCTCTCTGTGTCCTGTGTAAGCCTCAGTAATGCTGTAGGGTATAGGCTGTCAGGATTAGCATCCGAGTAAGACATGCAGGCTTCTGACAGACTGTTACTCTGTTGATCTGCCGGTTCTAATGTCACCATTGTGTGGAATGATGATGGTAAAGGTCAACTTTATTTCCCCTGTCCTAGAAGTCTGGGACCATTACCTTATGTTGCTGTTTGATATGTCTCTGTCCCACAGCTCAGCTACAGAAGCCACATATACTGTAATTGAATATTCCAAATGATAAAGCTATCAACAATTCATGCAGTGGCTGTTGTGGGATAGGGAAGCACTGAAATAACATTTATTTGTGTTTTCTTTTCTTTCTTCTTTTACATAATATGAGTCTTTTACACAATATTAACACCTTGGGAAATATGCCCAAACATATTGCCACAATGAGAGCCCAGTATTTCCTTTGGGAGCATTTAGAGAGGAGTTGTAGGCTGTTAATCTGAGGTTCTGTTGGAAAAGGATAATCCCTCAGATTATTTCAATTAATCCTAAATCACAACAAAACTTCATAAACCCAGGACGGTGTACACAGCTATCAGAAGAGATATCAGGATTTATAAAGCCCTATAAAGGTTAGTATTGTAGCTCAGTTGGTAGAGCATGGTTCTTGTAATGCCAGGATAGTGGGTTTGATTCCCGGGACCACCCATACATAAAGAATTTATGCATGCATGACTGTAAGTCGCTTTGGATAAAAACGTCTGCTAAATGTAGTACTGGCTATCATGGATAATTGACCCCTAACCTCACATTAAAAATACCATTAGAGCTTAGTATAATGAGTGTTAGAAATTAGGTGTATCTCCCCTCAGGTCTGTAGCTCAAGGCTAGAGAGCCAGTAATCACTCATGTTAATGCAAACAGTTTTGCAGGCTTTATCAGGTCCCTCTGTCCATGGCACGTCATGGATTAAATTGCATGGCCTTGTACTTGCTAACATGCCTGCCAAGTACCTATGTGCGAGGCAGCAGAGGCGCAGACTCAAGGTAAGTGTATCAGTGTGTTTTTCACCTGAGCCTCGGGGGCCTCAGATCTAATGAACCAGACGTTTAATCAAATTTAATGAGATCTCTAAAGATGTGTGATGGCCAGGGAGACTCCCTCCACGTGCTGTAGGCTAAATCATCACAACCACACCGGAGAGACTGGAAACCAGCAACAGCCTCATTGGTACTAGATGTGAGTGTACACCACATCCCTTAGAGGAGTCCCCTATCTCGTTAATAAACACACTCATACATTCATAATAATCTGTTAGTGTTAAGTCAGCGCTGGTTCAAACACACTACAGTAAATGTTAGCCTATGCTTTGTTTGGCTATGTGGCTGTGTACTGTATGATGTGATACTGTGACTGGGTGGTCATCGATAACTAAGTGATGTCTGGATGACGATGTGATGTGGACAGGCTGGATCATACTCACTTCCCTGCAGCGTAGACCTCTGCTGTGTCAAACAGATTGATGCCATTCTCGTAGGCCAGACACACAAGCTGCTCAGCCATCTATTGGCCGAAGAGGTGGAGAGAGGGAAAGGAAAGAGAGCGGAGGGAGGGGAGGGGGTTGAGAGATCACTGATACAAGGTGCTTAAGGGTTTTCAATTATTAAAACCTGGCTAAATGTATGTGATTGTAAGTGCACGCGTTAGTGCGTTCATGGTTCATATAATGGTTCATTCATATCGCACATTTGTTGGTTTTCTAGCCATTCTACATGGCAATGCAGTGTAAGCAGAAATAGTCTTCCTGAGCAGCAGTGGGCTGTAGGAGCATGTAGAGAGTTGTGAAACTGGGGAGTGTTGACTGACTGATTGATAAGTGGAATAACAGAATAACACAATCCATCTGCTCTCACCTCGTCTGTTATCTGCCCACCGAACGTCACCCATGTTCCTGCAGAGAGACGAAAGGGAGACTGTGTTAGTAGTCTTTCAGATGAACTGATACATAGGGAGTGGCGTTGAAGAAGCAGTGATACTGATTACCGTAGCTTCTTAATGATAGTTTTGAGAGATTTGTGGCTTTGGTACAGTTAACCAAAGCAACAGTGTTAGTTAACAGTTAGAGAAGGTCTCAGCTGGTATTTCTGGCATATCCTCACTCTCCCACGTCTCTGCTAGAAAAAGCCTTTGGTGTGAAATAAATTCCCTATGTGGCTCACTTTGTCTTACTGGTGAAGTCACCTCTAACACAGTTTTGTCTCCCAGACCCTCAGCTACCCCCCCCCCCCCCCCCCCCCCCCCCCATCCCGTCTCCCACTCACCTAGTCCAAGGCAGGACACCCTCAGGCCAGACTTCCCAAGGTTTCTGTCAAAACACAGAATACATTAGCATTAATATGGTGTTGATAATGGCGCTGTGCTTTTTAGTGCTATATGTTTGAGATAGTCAATCTTTGTTTAAAGTAGTTCCATGCTTCATGAGAATGAATGTCTCTGTGTTGGGTATACGGACACTGACTCACTGTGAGAGTCTACTGGGAGGTTGTAACTAGGCTTGGGCGGTATACAGATTTTCATACTTTCATCCCATTTTTCTGCCATCCTGGGATTTACGGAATTACCAGCAAATGTTCTAAAAAAAGCCCATTGTGCGTTCATTTTTTTATTATCAAGTAATAGTGAATTCTCATGGATGCTTTTAGCTAACTAATTGCAAAGACAGGCAAATCCAGCTCATAAAGTTATAAAAGTATAGCTAGTTGCCATTTTTGGTGACTGTGGACATTTACTAGTGAAAGTAAATGAGAGAAATTGAGCAAATGAACAAAGTTGTGATGCATGTTTGTCTGATGGAAGAGCAGCATGTGTCCACCAAGCCCCCAGTGTCCAGCCTGGAGCGTGAAGTCGTGATGTCTGCTACTGCGTCGCAACCAAAAGTGTCAAAAGCCTGGTCTGCCCATGTAAATTACAATCGGCAGAATGGCAACAACAAAAAAATTGTAGACAGCCATTTTGGGCTCTAAAATATGTTTATTATGATCATGTTCGATCCCCACAGTGAATTATTTTAAAGTTAGCTAAAAATCGAGATATTTGAATTACATAGTGATCCATTCTGACTACTACATGTGCTGACACAGACCAATCATGGCCGGCAGGCTACGAGGAGGCTCCCGGTTGACTCTCTCAGCCAGGATGAAAACGACTACATCGACCATGATCCTTTGCTAGTTACGGCCACTTTCACCGTAATCCTTAGCGATTTTTTTGGTGCCATTCAGCAATATGGCACGCTTCAAATTCAAATACCTCCGGCTTCAAGCGCCATCTGGAGTTTTCCATAGAAATACTAGGATGACGTCAGCGCTATCACTATCTACTGGTTTTAAAGTCTATGGTTTAAACAAAGCAGAGGGGAAAAGAATGGAGAGGAGGAAAAAAACATTAGTGGGAAGCACAGGGAAAAAATGGCAGCTGTACAGATAACTCATCCAGAACTCTTTGACTTCTCAAACATGTCAGAAAGCTAACACCCCGTCTCCTTATTAATTCAGCCACTTACTTAGCTAACTAACAAGTAACCAAATACACAGCTGGAGAGTATAGCACAGTTACAAGATATCTGATGGCAAACATTTAGTAGTGAATTGCATACAAGTGTAACTTCATCACCTCATGTGGGCCGCACAACAAAAAGAGACTTGCCGATAGATATAGAACGCTATGGACTCACCAGCTCCCACCTTCTCCCGTTGTGCTGTTTACCACGAACATGTGACTGGCTGCTGTTCTGGGGAACTACGGTAAGCTTCATCATGAAAAATTATGTGACAGGCGAAATGAAGAACGCGATCTGCTTCATCTCCTAGCGTACTGCACAAGTTGACTGCAGGTATTTATTTCTTTTTTAATCTTGGTCAACCAAAGGTCGTCTGTTCTTTCGACCAATCGATTGGTTGAAATGTTTAATCGTGTATTTTTCCATATATACACACACATCCTATGTGTTTTTATCAAATCAACTATATGCACGGAGCTTGTCTGATGCTTTAAGGAACTGTTTGATTAAATAATTAAGAAACACAAATGACTAGAGTCCGACTGTAATTTATTTGATTGTGCCGCCTGGCTCAGAAAAACTGGCAGCTTCATTAAATAGTATCAAAACACCAGTCTCACCGTCAACAGTGAAGAGGCGACTCCGGGATGCTGAACTTCTAGGCAGAGTTGCAAAGAAAAAGCCATATCTCAGACTGGCCAATAAAAATAAAAGATGAAGATGGGCAGTCTGAGATATGGCTTTTTCTTTGCAACTCTGCCTAGACGGTCAGCATCCCGTAGTCGCCTATTCACTGTTGACGTTAAGACTGTTTTTTTGCGGGTACTATTTAATGAAGCTGCCAGTTGAGGACCTGTGAGGCGCCTGTTTCTCAAACTAGACACTCTAATGTATTTGTCCTCTTGCTCAGTTGTGCACCGGGGCCTCCCACTCCTCTTTCTATTCTGGTTAGAGCCAGTTTGCGCTGTTCTGTGAAGGGAGTAGTACACAGCGTTGTACGAGATCTTCCGTTTCTTGGCAATTTCTCGCATAGAATAGCCTTCATTTCTCAGAACAAGAATAAACTGACGAGTTTCAGAAAGAAGTTCTTTGTTTCTGGCCATTTTGAGCCTGTAATCGAACCCACAATTGCTGATGCTCCAGATACTCAACTAGTCTCATGAAGGCCAGTTTTATTGCTTCTTTAATCAGCACAACAGTTTTCAGCTGTGCTAACATGATTGCAAAAGGGTTTTCTAATGATCAATTAGCCTTTTAAAATGGATTAGCAAACACAACGTGCCATTGGAACACAGGACTAATGGTTGCTGATAATGGGCCTCTGTACGCCTATGTAGATATTCCATTAAAAATCAGATGTTTCCAGCTACAGTAGCCATTTACAACATTAACAATGTCTACACTGTATTTCTGATCAATTTGATGTTATATTAATGAATAAAAAAATTGCTTTTCTTTCGAAAACAAGGACATTTCTACAGTGAGGGAAAAAAGTATTTGATCCCCTGCTGATTTTGTACATTTGCCCACTGACAAAGAAATGATCAGTCTATAATTTTAATGGTAGGTTTATTTGAACAGTGAGAGACAGAATAACAACAAAATAATCCATAAAAACGCATGTCAAAAATGTTAGAAATTGATTAGCATTTTAATGAGGGAAATAAGTATTTGACCCCCTCTCAATCAGAAAGATTTCTGGCTCCCAGGTGTCTTTTATACGGGTAACGAGCTGAGATTAGGAGCACACTCTTAAAGGGAGTGCTCCTAATTTCAGCGTGTTACCTGTATAAAAGACACCTGTCCACAGAAGCAATCAATCAATCAGATTCCAAACTCTCCACCATGGCCAAGACCAAAGAGCTCTCCAAGGATGTCAGGGACAAGATTGTAGACTTACACAAGGCTGGAATGGGCTACAAGACCATCGCCAAGCAGCTTGGTGAGAAGGTGACAACAGTTGGTGCGATTATTCGCAAATGGAAGAAACACAAAATAACTGTCAATCCCCCTCGGCCTGGGGCTCCATGCAAGATCTCACCTTGTGGAGTTGCAATGATCATGAGAACGGTGAGGAAGCAGCCCAGAACTACACGGGAGGATCTTGTCAATGATCTCAAGGCAGCTGGGACCATAGTCACCAAGAAAACAATTGGTAACACACTACGCCGTGAAGGACTGAAATCCTGCAGCGCCCGCAAGGTCCCCCTGCTCAAGAAAGCACATATACATGCCCGTCTGAAGTTTGCCAATGAACATCTGAATGATTCAGAGGAGAACTGGGTGAAAGTGTTGTGGTCAGATGAGACTAAAATGGAGCTCTTTGGCATCAACTCAACTCAACGTGTTTGGAGGAGGAGGAATGCTGCCTATGACCCCAAGAACACCATTCCCACCGTCAAACATGGAGGTGGAAACATTATGCTTTGGAGGTGTTTTTCTGCTAAGGGGACAGGACAACTTCACCGCATCAAAGTGACGATGGATGGGGCCATGTACCGTCAAATCTTGGGTGAGAACCTCCTTCCCTCAGCCAGGGCATTGAAAATGGGTCGTGGATGGGTATTCCAGCATGACAATGACCCAAAACACACGGCCAAGGCAACCAGGAGTTGAGTGGCTCAAGAAGAAGCACATTAAGGTCCTGGAGTGACCTAGCCAGTCTCCAGACCTTAATCCCATAGAAAATCTGTGGAGGGAGCTGAAGGTTCGAGTTGCCAAACGTCAGCCTCGAAACCTTAATGACTTGGAGAAGATCTGCAAAGAGGAGTGGGACAAAATCCCTCCTGAGAGGTGTGCAAACCTGGTGGCCAACTACAAGAAACGTCTGACCTCTGTGATTGCCAACAAGGGTTTTGCCACCAAGTACTAAGTCATGTTTTGCAGAGGGGTCAAATACTTATTTCCCTCATTAAAATGCAAATCAATTTATAACATTTTTGACATGCGTTTTTCTGGATTTTTTGTTGTTGTTATTCTGTCTCTCACTGTTCAAATAAACCTACCATTAAAATTATAGACTGATAATTTCTTTGTCAGTGGGCAAACGTACAAAATCAGCAGGGAATCAAATATTTTTTTCCCTCACTGTAAGTGTCCCCAAACTTTTGAACGGTAGTGTATACTGAGATCATGTGACAGATCATGTGACACTTAGATTGCACACAGGTGGACTTTATTTAACTAATTATGTGACTTCTGAAGGTAATTGGTTGCACCAGATCTTATTTAGGGGCTTCATAGCAAAGGGGGTGAATACATACAGTTGAAATCTGAAGTTTACATACACCTTAGCCAAATACATTTAAACTCAGTTTTTCACAATTCCTGACATTTAATCCTAGTAAAAATGCCCTGTCTTGGGTCAGTTAGGATCACCACTTTATTTTAAGAATGTGAAATGTCAGAATAATAGTAGAGAGAATTATTTATTTAAGCTTTCATCAAATTGCCAGTGGGTCAGAAGTTTACATACACTCAATTAGTATTTGGTAGCGTTGCCTTTAAATTGTTTAACTTGGGTCAAACGTTTCGGGTAGCCTTCAACACGCTTCCCACAATAAGTTTGGATTAATTTTGGCCCATTCCTCCTGACAGAGCTGGTGTAACTGAGTCAGGTTTGTAGGCCTCCTTGCTCGCACACGCTTTTTCAGTTCTGCCCACAAATGTTCTATAAGGTTGAGGTCAGGGCTTTGTGATGGCCACTCCAATACCTTGACTTTGTTGTCCTTAAGCCATTTTGCAACAACTTTGGAAGTATGCTTGGGGTCATGGTCCATTTGGAAGACCCATTTGTGACCAAGTTTTAACTTCCTGCCTGATGTCTTGAGATTTTGCTTCAATGTATCCACATAATTTTCCTTCCTCATGATGCCATCTATTGTGTGAAGTGCACCAGTCCCTCCTGCAGCAAAGCACCCCCACAGCATCATGCTGCCACCCCCGTGCTTCAGGGATGTGATGGTGTTCTTCAGCTTGTAAGAGACCCCCTTTTCCCTCCAAACATAACAATGGTCATTATGGCCAAACAGTTCTATTTTTGTTTCATCAGACCAGAGGACATTTCTCCAAAAAGTACGATCTTTGTCCCCATGTGCAGTTGCAAACCGTAGTCTGGCTTTTTTTATGGCGGTTTTGGAGCAGTGGCTTTTTCCTTGCTGAGCGGCCTTTCAGGTTATGTCGATATAGGACTTGTTTTACTGTGGATATAGATACTTTTGTATCTGTTTCCTCCAGCATCTTCACAAGGTCCTTTGCTGTTGTTCTGGGATTGATTTGCACTTTTCGCACCAAAGTACGTTAATCTCTAGGAGACAGAACGCGTCTCCTTCCAGAGCGGTATGATGGCTGCGTGGTGTTTATACTTGCGTACTATTGTTTGTACAGATTAACGTGGTTCCTTCAGGCATTTGGAAATTGCTCCCAAGGATGAACCAGACTTGTGGAGGTCTCCAATTTTTTTTCCTGAGTCTTGGCTGATTTCTTTAGATTTTTCCATGATGTCAAGCAAAGAGGCACTGAGTTTGAAGGTCGACCTTGAAATACATCCACAGGTACACCTCCAATTGACTCAAATGATGTCAATTAGCCTATCTGGAATTTCCCAAGCTGTTTAAAGGCACAGTCAACTTAGTGTATGTAAACTTCTGACCCACTGGAATTGTGATACAGTGAATTATAAGTGAAATAATCTGTCTGTAAACAATTGTTGGAAGAATTACTTGTGTCATGCACAAAGTAGATGTCCTAACCGACTTGCCAAAACTATAGTTTGTTAACAAGAAATGTGTGGAGTGGTTGAAAAACGAGTTTTAATGACTCCAACCTAAGTGTATGTAAACTTCCGACTTCAACTGTATGCACGCACCACTTGTCCGTTATTTATTTTATTGAATTATTATTATTTATTAATTTTTTTCATTCCACTTCACCAATTTGGACTATTTTGTGTATGTCCATTACATGAAATCCAAATAAAAATCCATTTAAATTACAGGTTGTAATGCAACAAAATAGGAAAAACGCCAAGGGGTGTGAATACTTTTGCAAGGCACTGTATCTCAGTTCACACCAAGATGCCCAGGCCTTCACCTCAATCCCCAAGAGCCAATCACAAGCTTTGACTCCAGCTCGACCCCCTACAGTAAATCCCAGTCCCCAGAGGAAACACAGTACCTCTTAACCAATCAGAGTTCAGACAGACTCCACCACTGACAGACATACACAGCTTTGGTGTTCGTTTTACCTTTCAGTCTAAAAAGTTACAGGTAAAAGATAGAGAATACACTGGAGAAACCTGCAGGAGGTAAAGGCCTTTTCTAGTGTTATAAATCCACAATGACTGCCTCAGTCTTCAGTGGCTCAAAAGGCATATTTTTTTGGTACGTTACTGTGCATAGCAGGTCGTTTATCATTCAAATTTGGCACGTCAACATTATGCAAGCACATGCAATTATTCATTTTGGCAGTATTGAAAAGAATTAAAGCCTCAAGTTGCATAGCTTTAAGACTGGTGCATTCAAGGCTAATATAATTTCACCAGGGCCGCTCTGTCATGGCCAACATGTTTTCTTAAGGCGACGCGGAACAGTGAACCACAGGGGAAGACTTTAGAGGCAGCGCTAGGCTACAATCTTGAGTGCTGCACTTGTCACCACAGAAATAAATAGAACAATTGAATGTATCTCTATATTCCTTCCTGAGCTCTCAATACCAAGAACCCATTCCCAATATGAGATCCTTAAAGCCGATGGCATATGCTTAAAACACAACGTACCATACCAACTAACAACTGTGAGTAGAGAACCTTGAGTTGCCTTCTGCTAGAGGTAAGTAAGATATGTGGGATATAAGATTATGTAATGGATGGTGTGGGACGAGGAGTGTGTAGGTGTATGTGGGGGGGTCTGTCTGTAATTTTGTAGGAGTATGATTGTGTGCATGCAGGTATTATTGGAATATACATTAAGGCACTTACTGTGTTTATGTATTAGAGTGTGTCCATGGCTGTGTGTTACGTGTGTGTGTGTGCGCGCATGTGTACGTGTAGGATTATGAGTGTGTGGGTGTCTTGTGAAGCCATGGTGGGTTTGCTAAATTGCTGTGGTGACTAAGAAAAAAACATTCCCTTCATTTTGCTCTGAAACAGCAAGGCGATCCAAAAAGCCCACTTTTCATGTGGACTGAGATTCAAAATAAACCAGCACCATAATATTTGTATTTGTATTTATTATGGATCCCCATTAGCTGCTGCCAAGGCAGCAACTACCCTTCCTGGGGTCCGGCAAAATTAAGGCAGTTATACAATTTAAAAAACATTAAAATACATTCATAACAGATCTGACAACACACTAAGTGTGTGCCCTCAGGTCCCTACTACCACATATCTACAACACAAAATCCATATGTATGTGTGTGCATAGTGCGTATGTTATCATGTGTGTGTATGCATGTGCTGTGCCTATGTTTGTGTTGCTTCACAGTCCCCACTGTTCCATAAGGTGTATTTTTATCAGTTTTTTAAATCTGATTCCACTGCTTGCATCAGTTACCTGATGTGGAATAGAGTTCCATAATATCAGATCCTTAACAAGCATACAGTGCCTTTCAAAAGTATTCATCCCCCTTGGCATTTTTCCTATTTTGTTGCATTACAACAGTAATTTAAATGGATTTTTATTTGGATTTCATGTAATGGACATACACAAAATAGTCCAAATTGGTGAAGTGGAATGAAAAAAATAACTTGTTTAAAAAAATTATAAAAAATAAATAACTGAAAAGTGGTGCGTGCATATGTATTCAGCCCCTTTGCTATGAAACCCCTAAATAAGATCTGGTGCAACCAATTACCTTCAGAAGTCACATAATTAGTTAAATAAAGTCCAGCTGTGTGCAATCTAAGTGTCACATGATCTGTCACATGATCTCAGTATATATACACCTGTTCTGAAATGTCCCCAGAGTCTGTAACACCACTAAGCAAGGGGCACCATCAAGCAAGCGGCACCATGAAGACCAAGGAGCTCTCCAAACAGTTCAGGGACAAAGTTGTCGAGAAGTACAGATCAGGGTTGGGTTATAAAAAAATATCCGAAACTTTGAACATACCACGGAGCACCATTAAAAAATTTAAAGAATATGGCACCACAACAAACCTGCCAAGAGAGGGACGCCCACCAAAAATCACGGACCAGGCAAGGAGGGCATTAATCAGAGAGGCAACAAAGAGACCAAAGATAACCCTGAATGAGCTGCAAAGCTCCACAGTGGAGATTGGAGTATCTGTCCATAGGACCACTTTAAGCCGTACACTCCACAGAGCTGGGCTTTATGGAAGAGTGGCCAGAAAAAAGCCATTGCTTAAAGAAAAAAATAAGCAAACATGTTTGGTGTTCGCCAAAAGGCATGTGGGAGACTCCCCAAACATATGGAAAAATGTACTCTGGTCAGATGAGACTAAAATTTAGCTTTTTGGCCATCAAGGAAAACGCTATGTCTGGCGCAAACCCAACACCTCTCATCACCCCGAGAACACCATCCCCACAGTGAAGCATGGTGGTGGCAGCATCATGCTGTGGGGATATTTTTAATCGGCGGGGACTGGGAAACTGGTCAGAATGTAAGGAATGATGGATGGCGCTAAATACAGGGAAATTCTTGAGGGAAACCTGTTTCAGTCTTCCAGAGATTTGAGACTGGGACGGAGGTTCACCTTCCAGCAGGACAATGACCCTAAGCATACTGCTAAAGCAACACTGGAGTGGTTTAAGGGGAAACATGTAAATGTCTTGGAATGGCCTAGTCAAAGTCCAGACCTCAATCCAATTGAGAATTTGTGGTATGACTTAAGGTTTGCTGTACACCAGCGGATCCCATCCAACTTGAAGGAGCTGGAGCAGTTTTGCCTTGAAGAATGGGCAAAAATCCCAGTGGCTAGATGTGCCAAGCTTATAGAGACATACCCCAAGAGACTTGCAGCTGTAATTGCTGCAAAAGGTGGCTCTACAAAGTATTGACTTTGGGGGGGGTGAATAGTTATGCACGCTCAAGTTTTCTGTTTTTGTCTTATTTCTTGTTTGTTTCACAATAAAAAATATTTTGCATCTTCAAAGTGGTAGGCATGTTGTGTAAATCAAATGATACAAACCCCCACCAAAAAATCCATTTTAATTCCAGGTTGTAAGGCAACAAAATAGGAAAAATGACATGGGGGTTGAATACTTTCACAAGCCACTGTATGTAGTCCATACCAAGAAGATTCACTCCTCAAATGTCAGGTCTTTTAGGGTCTCTTTCATGATATCTTACCATGTGTTATTTGCAAATCCAGTGCAGTCAGAGAAGAGGCAAAGCGAGAGGGCTGACTCAGCCCCCAAATCTGTCCACATGAAAATAAAGTGTGAAGCAATGGAAGTGGGGACTTTTTGTATGGAGGTCAATGAGTGTTGAATTTGGTCAACATAATTCAAACACTACATATGCACACACACAACACACACACGCATACCAACACAACACAAAAAAAAATAAAAAAATAAAAAAGTTTATAATTTGCTGCTGCTACTCTGTTCTTTATTTTATTGGTATTATGATCTGTCCTGATGCCTAGTCACTTTACCCTGCCTTCTTGTACATATCTGTCTCAAGTACCTCGTACCTCTGCACATTCATCTGAAACTGGTACTCCCTGTACATAGTTCCATTCTTGTGTATTTTATTTTATTCCTCGTGTTAGTTACTATTTGTATATTTTTTTTTTTTAAAATGTTATGTTTTAACTCTGCATTGTTGGGAAAGGTTCGTAAGCAAGCATTTCTCTATAAAGTCTACACCAGTTGTATTCGGCGCATGTGATAAATAACATTTGAGATGATTTTATCAAATTGAATTGCTCATTTGTGAGGCCTATTCGAACGAATAGAAGTTTCATAATGCTTAGGTTGTTACAAATACTAGTGGAGATGCGTGACATACCGCCAACTTTGAGGAAAACGATTAGGTGAGGACTGTTGTCATGGTTTGAGGTATTACACATGAAACGCACACGCTTAATAAGATTAACAGAACAGTGCACATTGCATTCACACACACTCTGTGCAGCCTGTTCAGAAATGAGACATACAGTAAAACTGTCTCTGGACTACAGTCAGTCACAATTTTTCACCAGAAATGGTTATTCCAGAATCACAGTATTGTTCAAGTGCAAGACAGGTGTGTATTTGAGTTAAGTCCCTTCAAAACATACAATAAAGTAACAGACCGATCAGACACCCAGTCTGGTCTCTGTCCTTTTCACCTAGGAACGATACTTCCCTTTGTCAGTTATGTGTAGTGCTGAATATTTTACCAGGCTGGCCGTTGATACTGCATGTTGGCCCTGGGCTATCCTTCACCTCCCCTCCCCTCCCCTGCAGGGACCTGGTAGTAGTACTGTAGCAGGCTGGTCTGATCTGGGGTCAGGTAGCCACTACGCCTCCCTGGACACGGCCCAGAACAGTAAGGTCACCCACGTCTCTTACCCTCTTCAATTATGGACTACAGAGCTACACTACACTACACTACACTACACTACAGTCAGCCTCAACACATTATGAGTGGACCCAGTGACCACTTTGACTGTGTGAGTGTTATTTATTTGGCTGTAGATGAGATGCCTCTAGACTGTTTGTACCACAGTGGCCTCATGGTTCACTAAGCCCCTGATTTCAAAGTGGATGAACAGAGGCGGTCATCTCAGTCTCTTATGGGTTTTCTGAGGTGTGAGTTAGTGTTTGCTGGCCGAGAGTACTTAGCACCTCAGTGTAATTAGTGAACACAGTGCACACCCATTTTACATGTATAATCGCGTGAAAAATGTCCGGCAGTCAGACGTCTAGAGTGTGGTCCCTAAAACACAGCATGCTGAACGATCGGCAGACGAACGCTAGATCCACATTTGGTGCATCTGTTAAATTACTCAAATGTAAATGTGCGATGTGTGCAAGCCTTTAGAAGTCTATTTCAGGGGCTCTTTGCGTAAATCCACTGCACCTGATCAGACTGTCTAGAATTTAGATGGAGCCAGATGGATGACAGCTGTATCGTCCCTTTCCAACTCTTTCCCTCTCCTGATATTTGGCCCTGAGGGAGGTAGGAGGCTAGCTCTGAGAGCTGCAATATGTGTTCACCATGTCATGACAGTGTTCCTCTCTGGCACTCTCTAGGGTGAAGAGCTACAGGGGTGTTACTGAGAGTTCAGGCCAGGGCCAGAGAGGGGGAGGTAGGGGCTGAAAGGTCAGGGTGATGGCCTGAGAAGGTGAGAGGAAGGTAGGGGCTGAGACGTCAGGGTGGAGGTCAAAGAGAGTGAAGGGGTAAGACTTGTCAGGATAAGGGGTAGAGGGGGTGAGGGAGTGAGACAGTTCAGGGCGGTGGGGTAGAAAAGCAAGTTGTGATGATGAATGAGAACAGGGTCACATAACTGCGATGAGGAATGTGTTAAGGAGGATATTTTTTACAGAGAGCTGTAAACTGTGCAAACTAAAAATACACCCACGGCTCAAACTCAAAAACAAACACACTGCTCATGTCTTGTTGCTGGCCCATGGCTTGCAGCACGGTCCCTTTGCTCTCCTAGATGTATGTGTGTTTATGTAACGTCGTCCCCAGTCTAGCATTTCTGGCGCACAGAGCCTGGAACACTCAGCTTCAAAGTGGAGCTTGAAATCAAGGCGGAGAGGAAGTGAGCCTGCTACAGCTGTATTAGATGGGATTTTGAAAAATGAAATCATGTCGGATATCTGTTTTCTCATTGAAAAGTGTTTATTGTTCTCTTGGCCTTCGTCAGAGCGTTTAAACTAAATACTAAACCTTCTTTTAATTACTGAATGCATCGACAACGGGGACTCGGGATGTGGCTTCATTATTGATGTCATGTTAAACAGGCCTTTTGCTTTGAAAATATAGATTGTTTTAGTTTTTTAGCTTAGGCTACCTATTTAATTATTTAAATTATGGATCAAGCCTTAGCAGTCATTCTGATCTCATTCCCAATGATCAATGCTTTAGTTTATTAGGTTGCTGTCCTGCGGTTCTGAATTTGCGATGCACTCGACTGTCCACGTTTTTCTGTGCAATAGCCTTTTGATTTGAACATTTGATACGTTTTGGTGTGAACACTTTAATTTAAATATGTTACAGCACTCTGGTTTTACTAATAAATATGTTGAAATGGAACCAAATGATCTGTCTGTCTTCAGTTCTTTTTAAATAGGATAGATGGGTTGAATGTGATAGTCTGCCTATAACCAGCCTGAGTAGGCCTATAACTCCATTCCTATTCTATTCAGAGTTTAGAGAAATTAATCAAATTGGAAATTAACTATTATCTGGTTGGTTAATGCGATGCATGTCTGTTGAATTTGGAAAAATCCACCCGCACTCGGCCTCGCCCCACCTACTCAGCCAATCAGAAGCTGCTACTGCATTGCGGCCGTGGCATACTGCATACTTTTTACTAAACGGTACGTGCTAAATAGTATGCGACGGTGAGTACATAGTATGCCGTTTAAGTATGTAGTACGCTAGAATGGGTATTTGGACACGGCCACTGTATAGCCTACATACTAAAAAAAGTGGTGCAGAAAAGATGACTCACTAGATCACAGATCATGACCACACTGCATCATTCAGTGCCATATGACACTATTTACAGTAGTGTAGGATAGAACTAAAATATTACTAACACAGATACTGTATACTTTAACCTTTACTGTGCCATTTCCAGTCCATTGTCCTTTACATTTCGTTTTCCTTTTTTTGCAGCAGTGGCAACAATTTAGCAGTAGTGGACCACCACTTCTAAATGAATATAGGAGAAACACTAATAGCCTTTAAGTACCTCCCCATGGTATTCTAAGGGCTTGGGATATTACACCATTCTACACCAATTAAAGTAGAACTGACAACTACTTTACAGATATGAAACAAACAATCATAACATCAGTCAAACATTTAAAATGCCCAGTTTATGCTACAAAACCAACTTTAAAAGAGGTTTTAAAAATAGGTTATATTTGACCAAAAATTCCATGACGTACAGTAAAGCATTGTTGGCAGAATAGATGGATGCAGTTCAATGCATGATTAATATAATTCACCAATACATTTCTTGGTAGTCCAAAAATGTTGCTATCAGGTTGTAAATCACAGCTGGCCTGGTACATTGTTTGCTGCCTCCACCCATTCGGGATGCACTGTTTTAGTTACAATTAATCAATATTTGGGACAAAAACAGACAATTGTAACTAAAGCTGTGAATGTCAATACAATCAAACTAGCAAGGACAATGATCTAAAGTCACGCTGTTGCTAATGTCTGTAAATACACAGTTCAGTTCAAAGAGAATGTGGCAAATTGCTTATTTGTATATAGGCATACTGTAGCTCTGATTGGCTATGGTGCACTGGTCTGCGTAGACTCCGGTCCTGGACAAGACAGATGTTTTTATTAGATTTTATTTACAGCAGTGTCTATTAATTGTCCAAACGCACGGCCGCTTTCCCACTCTATATAACTATATAACTTTCACATGCCTTACTCTACGTCATTCCCAAACATTCTATGAATGTATGAAAACTTGAAAATGACCATATGCTGGTAAGTGCTGGCTTGTCAGAATATATATATTTTTAAATGTAATTCTTCCTGGGGGTGTATATGAACAGATTTTAATAAGATTTCATGTTGTTAAAATGATGTCAGTTCCACTTTAACACTAATGATGTCAAATGGACAGTTCAAAGGCATGTCACACAGCGAAACACTATAGGAATCCACCGTCAACATAACTGACACACAATCTAATTCTGATACTGTGCACTAGTAACAGATCCTCAAAAAGGATCAAAATGACGATGTACACTAGGATCTTGAAAAAATTAAATCAGTAACACATTGCATTCGGAAAGTATTCAGACCCCTTGACTTTTTCCAAATGTTGTTAAGTTACAGCCTCATTCTAAAATGGATAAAATACATACAAATCCTCATCAATCTACACACAACACCCTATAACGACAAAGCAAAAACTGTTTTTTTTAAACATTTTGGCAAATTTATAAAAAATAAAAAAACATATTTACATAAGTATTCAGACCCTTTGCTAAGGGACTCGAAATTGAGCTCAGGTGCATCCATTTCCATTGATCATCATTGAGATGTTTCTACAACTTGATTGGAGTCCACCTGTGGTAAATTCAATTGATTGGACATGATTTGGAAAGGCAAACACCTGTCTATATAAGGTCACACAGTTGACAGTGCATGTCAGAGCAAAAACCAAGCCATGAGGTCGAAGGAATTGTCCGTAGCGCTCTGAGACAGGATTGTGTCTAGGCACAGATCTGTGGAAGGGTACCAAAAAATGTCTGCAGCTTTGAAGGTCCCCAAGAACACAGTGGCCTCCATCATTCTTAAATGGAAGAAGTTTGGAACCACAAGGTCCCCAAGAACACAGTCGGAGTATGGAACCACCAAGACTCTTCCTAGAGCTGGCCGCCCAGCCAAACTGAGCAATCGGGGGAGAAGGGCCTTGGTCAGGGAGGTGACCAAGAACCCGATGGTCACTCTGACAGAGCTCCAGAGTTCCTCTGTGGAGATGGGAGAACCTTCCAGAAGGACAACCATCTCTGCAGCACTCCACCAATCAGGCCTTTATGGTAGAATGGCCAGACAGAAGCCACTCCTCAGTAAAAGGCACATGAGAGCCCATTTGGAGTTAGCCAAAAGTTACCTAAAGGGCTCTCAGACCATGAGAAACAAGATTATCTGGTCTGTCGGCCTTGCATTAAAGAACATAATTGGTTAAAGAAAACTGTGATAAATAAAAAAGTATACCAGTTTCATTTAAGGACCAAAGGATTGATAGCCATCCCATATAGATCGCAAAATAGTTGTGAAGAGATTTTTGACGTACCGATTCCATGGCATAGTGTTTATGAACTGATACGCAAAACATAGAAGTACAGATACTAGATCCAACATAGAAATACAATAACATAGATCTCAAACTGAACTCACACCCTGACCCAACCAACTAGAGTTCTCTAGGTCAGGGCGTGACAACCCAAGAAGACTTGAGGCTGTAATCTCTGCCAAAGGTGCTTCAACAAGGTACTGAGTAAAGGGTCTGAATGTAAATGTGATATTTCAGTTTTTGTATTTTTTTTTCTAAATTTGCAACAATTTCTAAAAACCTGCTTTTGCTTTGTCATTATGGGGTATTGTGTGTAGATTGATGAGGGGGGGAAACAATTTAATACATTTTAGAATAAGGCTGTAACGTAACAAAATGTGGAAAAAGTCAAGGGGTTTGAATACTTTCCGAATCACTGTAATTTACAAATGTAAGTTCCTGTACTGTCGTAACAGCAACCGACAACAGATGTGGTTGCCAGCTCATATGGTTTCTACACAGTGCAGTCATACAATGTGGAAAACATGACGCAATTATATCTTTCTTTCCTTCATCAGCTTAGATATTGACATACATATGGATAGGCTACATGCTGCTAAATCTCAAGAAACAGGATGAAAATAGTCTCCAAACATACATAAAACTGAATAGTTGAGGGAAATGAAAGCTAAATGTCACATAGCAGGATGGATTAATACATCTATTTCCAGTGTGTTTAAGAAAGACAATAACACGCAGAGAGATAGAGAGAAGATGAGAGTAGAGTGCTGCTAAAGCAAACACACAGCTCAGCTCAGAGCAGCACAGGCTCTAATTTAACTATTTCAGTCAGGCAAGGAGTAAACAGCTGTCTTCATCTCCCCATTCAGCTAAACACGCTCCCATCAGCACATACCTCTCGCACACACATCCACATACTGCACTCACTCAGACAACATCTCTATACACACATGGACTATTCCACTGCTTGACAATTCACCCTAACATGCCCCTAGCGAACAGATGCCAAGTGTTCTTTTCTTGTGCATTAAAAATAGGCTAGTGTTTACAGTAAGTGGCTATGTATGTAGCCGAGACTGTAAGAGTTGGAGGCTGCAGTATTAAGTCCTATCTGTGTTTGTACTGGAGTGGAGTGGCTAGTGGTTACAGTACAGTAGGCCTAAGTGTCCTGCTCGGTGTTCCTCTCTAAAGTGCCACATTTCAAGTAGGCGTAAAGCCCATGGAGAGCTGGGCTTTATGTTGAGTACAAAATGAAGTCCTTATGACCTGGCTATCGTGCTCATAGGGATTAAGATACTTTACATTTGTGCCGAACACTGCACCTTGCCATCAATGACCTTTTATAGTAATAAGGGCACTATACTGAATTTGAACTATGTACACCTCTGCCAAACACTGTATATGCACTGTATTAGGGCTGTCCCGACAAAAAAAAATTTTGGTTGACCAAAAGTCGTCTGTTCTTTCGACCAATCGATTGGTAAAAATGTGTAAACATGTATTTTTCCATATTTGGACATACCCTATATGTTTTAATAAATTCAACTATATGCATTGAGCTTGTCTGACGCTTAAAGCTTACGGTTTAATGAAATAAGACAAATGCCTCAAGATGGCAGGAGAGATCTAGATAACCAGAAGAAAAAAAACTTAACCTGACCCAACTATTCTCCTTCCACTCCTGCTGGCTTTCGCATATTCTGCCATTACTCTCCTGAAGTTGCCGGTAATAGGCTACACAAGGAGTCGGCAAACTTTCTCATGTGGAATGCCAATTTATCTTACCATTTCTACCGATCTGCATGGCAGTTATGGTTTTCATATGCACATTTTCGTGAAACAGTTTCATTTCATTTATAATAACGTCTTCATATCTCAAAATCATTGTCATGTGGTTAATCAAAATTCTATCCAAATCTAAATGAAAATGATACAAACCTAAAAAGTAACTTCTATTGCCATTGCCAACTATGTCAACATAGCCTACATAAAGCCAACAAATAAAAACATTGCAGCCTGCAGGTAGAAAATATCCTGATAAAAATAAATATCCTATAAATCACATTGGCTACACATGGCCTGTGTCACGCCTTCTCCTGCTCCCTCCCTCCGGCGCTCGACGTCGCCATTCTACTAACCACCGGCCCTGGCAACTATATCACACAAACCTGTTCCCCATCATTACGCACACATGGTCATCATTTTCTCCTTGATTACTCCCCCTTTATTTAGCCCTCAGTTGACATCAGTCATTAGGTAGTATTGTTTTCTCTCACGTTCAGTACGCGGCTCATGTTTGGTCATCTGTATTGGTTCATTATTAAACTCACCTTCTGCACCTGCTTCCTGATTCCCGGCGTATACGTTACAGCCTGTCTGCAACAAACTTGAAACATTGTATCAACTATTAACTTGGGTCCGGCCCGAAGCTTCCTGGGCCCTCAGAGTTTCCCTCGCCAGTGAGTTCGGGACAGACACAGCTGTAGGCTATTTGCGCAAGGGATAAGAAACAGTGCTTGACTCGGGCAGGAGCTCACCGGAGCTGAGTACCGACACCTCAAAAGTTCTACTGCTTGAGCTCCTGTTTCTCTTATACAATATTAGCTCAAATGTATTGTGGAGCTCCTGCACCTAAATATAAACAGTACCAGCACCCAAAATGAGTACCGGAACCTATTTCAGTCCAGGTCAACCACTGATAAGTAATCAGGTAGGCCTATTTTATGATGTTTCTATTGGATCAGAGCATGACATTTTTCCCTTTCATGATGAGTGGTTATCGAAAGGGAGAGAGCTGGAAAGATTTTTCAAATACGTTGAGGAACTATTGTAATTCTCAATGGATGTAAAAACAGACTTGCGTGTCCTTACTCAACATTGCCATGAGCGCTCCAAACAAAAGACAATGGCTAAATTGACAAAACTCGTAAATGGAATGAAATAAACCAAAACTTGTTTCTCACAAGTGTAGCATAGGTTGTGCACTGCAAACAATGTGTCCACTCTGACAATGAGAACAAGACGACTGGAATAATAATAATGAATGCATAAAAATAAATGACCGTAACCAAAGTAACAAACATTGTCGATTCGAAATTATAGGAATTAACGGTAAATGTACTACTGTTGTTACAAAATGTAACAACATTTTGAGAGGTGCATGGCGACGCAGTACGGAGCTAGATTTGGCCTCTGCATGCCTCTGGAGGCTCCACAATTTAATCACACCCTCCATATGGAGCCTCCAACCACATATTTGGATCAAGCATAAATTGGCTTTTAGTCTAGGCCTCGGCAATGGATTAGTTCACTGAGATGGGCGCATATATGTGTATATATATACACTACCAGTCCAAAGTTTGGACACACCTACTCATTCAAGGGTTTTTCTTTATTTTTACTATTTCTTACGTTGTAGAATAATAGTGAAGACATCAAAACTATGAAATAACACATATGGAATCATGTAGTAACCAAAAAAGTGTTTAACTAATCAAAATATATTTGAGATTCTTCAAATAGCCACCCATTGCCTTGATGACAGCTTTGCACACTCTTGGCATTCTCTCAACCAGCTTCACCTGGAATGCTTTTCCAACAGTCTTGAAGGAGTTCCCACATATGCTGAGTACTTGTTGGCTGCTTTTCCTTCACTCTGCAGTCCAACTCATCCCAAACCATCTCAATTGGGTTGAGGTCAGGGGATTGTGGAGGCCAGGTCATCTGATGCAGCACTCCATCACTCTCCTTCTTGGTAAAATAGCCCTTACACAGCCTGGAGGTGTGTTGCGTCATTGTCCTGTTGAAAAACAAATGATAGTCCCACTAAGCGCAAACCAGATGGGATGGCATATCGCTGCAGAATGCTGTGGTAGCCATGCTAGTTAAGTGTGCCTTGAATTCTAAATAAATCACATGCAGTGTCACCAGCAAAGCACCATATCACCTCTTCCTCCATGTTTTACGGTGGGAAATACACATGCGGAGATAATCCATTCACCTGCACCGCGTCCCACAAAGACACGGCGGTTGGAACCAAACATCTCCAATTTGGACTCCAGACCAAAGGACAAATTTCCACCGGTCTAATGTCCATTGCTCGTGTTTCTTGGCCCAAGCAGGTCTCTTCTTCTTGGTGTCCTTTAGTAGTGGTTTCTTTGCAGCAATTCGACCATGAAGGCCTGATTCACACAGTCCCCTCTGAACAGTTGATGTTGAGATGTGTCTGTTACTTGAACTCTGTGAAACATTTATTTGGGCTGCAATTTCTGAGGCTGGTAACTCTAATGAACTTGTCCTCTGCAGCAGAGGTAACTCTGGATCTTTCATTCCTGTGGCGGTCCTCATGAGAGCAAGTTCCATCATAGCGCTTGATGGTTTTTGCAACTGCACTTGAAGAAACTTTAAAAGTTATTGAAATGTTCCGTATTGACTGACCTTCCTGTCTTAAAGTAATGATGGACTGTCGTTTCTCTTTGCTTATTTGAGCTGTTCTTGCCATAATATGGACTTGGTGTTTTACCAAATAGGGCTATCATCTGTATACCCCCCCTACCTTGTCACAACACACCTGATTGGCTCAAACACATTAAGAAGGAAAGAAATTCCACAAATTAACTTTTAAGAAGGCACACCTGTTAATTGAAATGCATTCCAGGTGACTACCTCATGAAGCTGGTTGAGAGAATGCCAAGAGTGTGCAAAGCTGTCATCAAGGCAAAGGGTGGCTATTTTAAGGATCTCAAATATAAAATATATGTTGATTTGTTTAACACTTTTTTAGTTACTACAATATTCCATATGTGTTATTTCATAGTTTTGATGTCTTCACTATTATTCTACAATGTAGCCTAAAGACGAAACAATCGACCAGTCGACTAATTGGGGTCTAAATTTGTCACGGCAGCATCCCTTCCTCTGCATATATAGATACTGTACATTCCCGCTGTAAATTGTATATCGTCACTGTAACTCAGTTTTACTCCAGTGTTTTATGTTCACTGTATTTATATTGTATATCCTGTATGTTGACTATATTGACTTTGTGTCTGTACATTGTCTATTGCTGGCAGCATCTATTCACTAAGTCAAATTCTGTGTATGTGTAAATGTACTTGGCGAATAAAGTGATTCTGATTAGCCAACACTCAAATCAAACACACCCAATCCTTTTGTCGCCCATACTACATATAGGCCAATGTACCCATGCTTGGAACTCTGAGGGGTAAAAACAGCTACAGAACTGAGATTAGCTAAATCCAATCACTTGACAACAAAAGACGTAGCATGACTTTGAAATATTGCTCAACACGTATCAAGCCAAAATCCTAAACAGGAGCATGCATCCATGTTGCAGCTTTCATATGTAAATTGCTAGGCAACAGGCGGTGTTGCGTCTCCATCTCTGCTAGCTAACTCACACCTGAACAACACAGCAGTGTGATTTAAACACCATCTGCTCAGCTCACACACAGACACATCACTCTGCCAGTTAGTTATACTGGGCGCTGTAATCAGGGGCGTCATGCACCCCAAAAATCTGAGGGGGCACAAAGTACGTGAGGATTTCTGGGGGGTAGATTCGGAGGGGCCGTCCTGAAGTTGGATCATTTTTCAAACACCTGAAACAGCTTTTTCCTGCAATCTAGAGCCATAATTATTATGCTTAATACTGTCAAAAATATGTATATTTTTCTGCATATCTAAATATACCTCTTGAGCTGTCTGTATCCTCCTGACTGGTGGTTATTTCTTCAAAGAAACTAAATATGCTTCTCTGCCTCTACGTTAAAAACTGGGTAAAATATTGAAAGGAATGTGAGTCTTATTCAGTACATTTAGTTATTGCTTGCTTTTCTTAAGTCTACCAACCTTGCCAGCTACCAAATTTGCCAGCAGGCATCAAATCAAATCAAATCAAATCAAGCTTTATTTACAGCACATTTCAGACATGCAACGCAATGTGCTTTACAGGAAAAAAAACTATGACATTTTTTTTTTACTACACAACAAACATAAGATAAAAAACAAAAGAAGGACACAAACTGAACAACTAAAAAGTACCCTAAGGAAAAGCAAAGCTAAAAATATGTAAAAATTAAAAAAAGCTAAATATTTCCAGTTTCAGCCCCCCTCAGGTTCTCTGGCAGGCTATTCCAGAGGCTGCCTCTCCATGCCTCTTGGTCCTAGGCTTTGGGATAGTTAAAAGGACAGTACCAGAGGACCTGAGGGACTTACTGGGTACATAACTTAAAAGCATGTCTTGACATTTATTGGGGTGCACAATCGTGGATTGATTGCTTTGGCTCCAACAACAAGTACCTCGGTCTTGTCTTGATTTAGCTGGAGGAAGTTTTGAGCCATCCAAGAATTTAAATCACTAATTCAGTCTAATAATTATCCGTGGAGCTAAAATCCTCTGGTGACACAGAAATGTAAAGTTGTGTATCGTCAGCGTAGCAGTAAAAATTAATGCTGTGCTTTCTGATAACGCTGCCAAGGGGTAACATATATAAACTGAACAGTACCGGACCCAAAATCAAACCTTGTGGAACGCCACATGTAATATGTATTTTCTCTGAGTTATGTTCACCAAGGGTGACAAAGAACTCTAGACCGGTTAAATAGGTCCTAAACCAATTCAGAACTGGACCGGAGAGGCCAACCCACCTCTCCAGTCTGTCCAGAATAACATCATGGTCAATAGTGTCGAATGCAGCACTTAAATATAAGAGTACAAGGACAGAGAGCTGTTTGGCATCTGTGTAAGCTCTAAGATCATTTACCACTTTAACAAAGGCTGTCTCTGTGCTGTGGTGGGCACAAAAACCAGACTGGAGGTTTTCAAAAATAAAGTTGCCACTTAAAAAATGATTTAGCTGTTTGAACACCAATGCCAGCTAATATAGTTAGACAAGCTAGCTACTCTAACTTGATTGATAGCCTGAAATGGCTTCTTGGTAGCTTGTTATGAATGTATCTCTTGACACATTCACGAAAATAGTAATGGCCTCTAAACCTTCCAGCTGCCTACTAGACCCTATTCCAACTAAATTACTTCCTGTGCTTGACCCTCCTGTATTGAATATAATAAGCGGCTGCCTATCCTCTGGATGTGTACCAAACTCTCTAAAAGTGGCAGTAATAAAGCCTCTCCTGAAAAAAATATAAAAAAACAGTAATAAATCAAATTTAAAAAACAATCTGCTTTTATCGAATCTCCCATTCCTCTCATTTTGTATACGAAACGCTCCAGTCTGGTTTTAGACCCCATCATAGTGCTGAGACTGCACTTGTGAAGGTGGTAAATTACCTTTTAAATGGTGTCAGACCATGGCTCTGCATCTGTTCTCGTGCTCCTAGACATTAGTGCTGCTTTTGATAAACCCATAAATAAACTTCAGTTAGTGCTAAATACGGCTGCTAGAATCTTGACTACAACCCAAAAATGTGATCATATTACTCCACTTCTAGCCTCTCTACACTGGCCTCCTGTTAAGGCTAGGGCTGATGTCAAGGTTTTACTGCTAACCTACAAAGCATTACATGGACTTGCTCTTTTTTTTTTTTTTTTTTTTTTTTTTTTTGGGGGGGGGGATGGATCAGCTTAATATTGCAGATAGATTGTATCTTCTATCAATGTAATTGTCTGCATCACTTCCAATCCCCCATGTTTTTTTTTATTTTTTATATATATATTCCCCTTTATTACTTTTCAACCCCACCATCCTTTCCCTACTTGGAGTAAATTAGTGAACAACAACGCCCAGGCCTCTACTTCCGGTCTATACTTACTATCTACACCTTATGGACAGAGTTAATTTTACTATAATTCTATATATATATATATATATATATATATATATATATATATATATATTTATTTTTTTGCTCCTGAACCTCTTCTACTCTCAACCTCTCCGATCATTTTCATGACGTCCATCCGGTTTGCTTCTAAATGCCATATCTTTCTAACTGTGCTCTTTCCCAAAAGCTCCCAACATACAACCTATATACTTATTATGGACACCGTATGCTTACATTATTAGCTATCTTTGTTATTATTTGTTGTTATTTGTTATTAGTCCCATCCTTCAACTCTATTCAATACCTCCCATCTATCTCTTAACACCATCCATATAGGATTTCTATTTGCCATATATATTTCAACCGTACTGTGATGTTTTACAAAAGTTCTGAACCTTTCTATTCTCATTGCTTCTATTGATTGTGAATTAAAAATAAACATTTTTGCTAAAAGTATTATTATATTATTGATTGATTGACTATGACTTTTCAGATCACCCAGTAATGCTATCTGCAAGGTTACCTCCAGGTAAATATTGCAATCCTTTAGCCATTCCTGGACCTGTGTCCAAAAACAAGCTACAAATGGACAGAACCAAAACAAATGATCTAATGATTCTATCTCTTCACAGCAAAATCTGCAGAGCTGGGAAGATTGTATCCCCCATATAAATAACATTCTATTGGTAGCAAGAATTTTATATAATAATTTAAATTGAAAGATTCTAATTTTTGAATCCGGTGTCGTTTTGCGTGTCAGTTCATAAACACTATGCCATGGGATCGGTACGTCAAAAATCTCTTCCCAACTATTTTGCAATATATATGGGACGGTTGTCAATCCTTTGGTCCTTAAGTGAAACTGATATACTTTTTTATTTATCACAGTTTTCCTTAACCAATTATGTTCTTTAATGCAAGGCCGACAGACAAGTTCCTTACTTTCTCCCCCTTCCACTTTCCTCTTCCACTTTTGCGGTAAGGCTGCAATTATTTGGTTGTAATTTTGGATAGAGCAGACATTTCCATATGTTTTTGTTAGCTGCATGTGCGACATAACTCCACCAGTCCTACCGATGATATCATTTACGAAGATTATACCTTTTTTAAACATTCTGTCAGAAAATAAAGGTTTTTTGTCAATTAGTATATTTGAATTTAACCACAATATTTGTTGCATTATTTGTTCTGTCGTTTCTGGAGGATTAAATTGAAATTGCAACCAACTTTCTATGGCTTGTTTTAGAAATAGTGACATTTGGGAGATTATTTCCTTTTCAAATAACTGAAAGTGAGAGGTTGTAATCTGAATAAAGGGAAAAAGGCCTTTCTTGAACAGTGGGTGAGACAATCTTACTAATTTGCTTGAGAACCAGTTCGGATTTAAGTATAACTTTTGGATGACTGAAGATTTTAGTGATAGGTCTAATGCTTTAATATTTAATAATTTCTGTCCTCCGAATTCATATTCATTATATAAATATGCTCTTTTAATTTTGTCTGGCTTGCCGTTCCAAATAAAATTGAATATTTTTTTCTCATATAATTTAAAAAACTGTTTGCTAGGCGTAGGCAAGACCATAAGCAAATAGGTAAACTGGGATAATACTAAAGAGTTAATCAGGGTGATTTTTCCACAAATTGACAGGTATTTTCCTTTCCATGGTAGTAAGATCTTATCTATTTTTGCTAACTTTCTATTAAAATTTATTGAAGTGAGATCATTTATTTCCTTTGGGATATGTATTCCGAGTATATCCACATCACCATCAGACCATTTTATTGGTAAACTACATGGTAATGTAAAAATTGTATTTTTTAGTGATCCAATACGTAATATAGTACATTTGTCATAATTTGGTTTTAATCCAGAGAGGTTAGAAAATGTATCTAGATCCTCTATGAGGCTGTGGAGGGATTCTAGTTGTGGATCTAAAAGAAAACATGAATCATCTGCGTACAATGACACCTTTGTTTTTAAGCCCTGTATTTCTAATCCTCTGATATTATTATTGGATCTTTTTGAGCCATCCAATAATTTAAATCACTAATTCAGTCTAATAATTTATCCGTGGAGCTAAAATCCTCTGGTGACACAGAAATGTAAAGTTGTGTATCGTCAGCGTAGCAGTAAAAATTAATGCTGTGCTTTCTGATAACGCTGCCAAGGGGTAACATATATAAACTGAACAGTACCGGACCCAAAATCAAACCTTGTGGAACGCCACATGTAATATGTATTTTCTCTGAGTTATGTTCACCAAGGGTGACAAAGAACTCTAGACCGGTTAAATAGGTCCTAAACCAATTCAGAACTGGACCGGAGAGGCCAACCCACCTCTCCAGTCTGTCCAGAATAACATCATGGTCAATAGTGTCGAATGCAGCACTTAAATATAAGAGTACAAGGACAGAGAGCTGTTTGGCGTCTGTGTAAGCTCTAAGATCATTTACCACTTTAACAAAGGCTGTCTCTGTGCTGTGGTGGGCACAAAAACCAGACTGGAGGTTTTCAAAAATAAAGTTGCCACTTAAAAAATGATTTAGCTGTTTGAACACCAATGCCAGCTAATATAGTTAGACAAGCTAGCTACTCTAACTTGATTGATAGCCTGAAATGGCTTCTTGGTAGCTTGTTATGAATGTATCTCTTGACACATTCACGAAAATAGTAATGGCCTCTAAACCTTCCAGCTGCCTACTAGACCCTATTCCAACTAAATTACTTCCTGTGCTTGACCCTCCTGTATTGAATATAATAAGCGGCTGCCTATCCTCTGGATGTGTACCAAACTCTCTAAAAGTGGCAGTAATAAAGCCTCTCCTGAAAAAAATATTAAAAAACAGTAATAAATCAAATTTAAAAAACAATCTGCTTTTATCGAATCTCCCATTCCTCTCATTTTGTATACGAAATGCTCCAGTCTGGTTTTAGACCCCATCATAGTGCTGAGACTGCACTCGTGAAGGTGGTAAATTACCTTTTAAATGGTGTCAGACCATGGCTCTGCATCTGTTCTCGTGCTCCTAGACATTAGTGCTGCTTTTGATAAACCAATAAATAAACTTCAGTTAGTGCTAAATACGGCTCCTAGAATCTTGACTACAACCCAAAAATGTGATCATATTACTCCACTTCTAGCCTCTCTACACTGGCCTCCTGTTAAGGCTAGGGCTGATGTCAAGGTTTTACTGCTAACCTACAAAGCATTACATGGACTTGCTCTTACTTATCTCTCCGATTTGGTCCTGCTGTACATACCTACACGTACGCTACAGTCACAACGCAGGCCTCCTTATTGTCCCTATATTTTCTAAGCAAACAGCTGGAGGCTGGGCTTTCTCCTATAGAGCTACATTTTTCTGGAATGGTCTGCCTATTACATTTACATTTACGTCATTTAGCAGACGCACTTATCCAGAGCGACTTACAAAATCCATGTGAGAGACGCAGACTCTGTCTCGACCTTTAAGTCTTTACTGAAGACTCATCTCTTCAGTAGGTCCTATGATTGAGTGTAGTCTGGCCCAGGGGTGCGAATGTGAACGGCAAGGCACTGGAGTGACGAACTGCCCTTGCTGTGTCTGCCTGGCCGGCTCCGCTCTCTCCACTGGGATTCTCTGCCTCTGACCCTATTACGGGGGCTGAGTCACTTGCTTACTAGTGCTCTTCCATGCCATTCCTAGGAGGGGTGCATCACATCGTGCAATGCCTTTTTTCGCTATACTCGACTTGAGTCACTGACGTTATCTTCCCGTCCGGTTTTGCGCCCCCTCGGCCTCGTGCGGTGGAGGAGATCTTTGTGGGCTATACTCAGCCTTGTCTCAGGGTAGTAAGTCGACAGTCTATTGATATCCCTCAAGTGGTGTGGGGGCTGTGCTTTGGCAAAGTGGGTAGGGTTATATCCTGCCTGGTTGGCCCTGTCCGGGGGTATCGTCGGACAGGGCCACAGTGTCCCCCGACCCCCCCCCCCCCGTCTCAGTCTCCAGTATCTATGCTGCAATAGTCTATGTGCCGGGGGGCTAGGGTCAGTCTGTCCTATCTGGTGAAATTCTCCTGTCTTATCTGGTGTGCTGTGTGAACTTAAGAATGCTCCCTCTAATTCTCCCTCTCCCCCCCACTCCCCCTACCCCTCTCTCCTCTCCTCTCGGAGGACATGGGCCGTAGGACCAAGCCTCAGGACTACCTGGCCTGATGACTCCTGCCTGTCCCCGTCCCCAGTCCACCTGGTCGTACTGCTGCTCCAGTTTCAACTGTTCTGTCTGCACCTATGGAACCCTGACCTGTTCACCAGACGTGCTACCTTGTCTTGGACCTGCTGTTTTCGACCCTCTCACTCCCTCTCGCTCTCTTCCTCTCTATCTACCGCACCTGCTGTCTCGACCTCTGAATGCTCAGCTATGAAACGCCAACTGACATTTACTCCTGAGGTGCTGAACTGTTGCACCCTCTACAACCACTGTGATTATTATCTGACCCTGCTGTTCACCTATGAACGTTTGAACATCTTGAAGAATAATCTGGCCTTAATGGCCATGTACTCTTATAATCTCTACCTGGCACAGCCAGAAGAGGACTGGCCATCCCCCAGAGCCTGGTTCCTCTCTAGGTTTATTCCTAGGTTCCTGCCTTTCTGGGGAGTTGTTCCTAGCCACCATCCTTCTACATCTGCATTGCTTGCTGTTTGGGGTTTTAGGCTGGGTTTCTGTATAAGCAATTTGTGACATCTGCTGATGTAAAAAAATACATACATTTGATTTGGATTTACATTTTAGTCATTTAGCAGACACTCTTATCTAGAGCGACATACAGTTAGTGCATTCATCTTAAGATAGCTAGGTGGGACAACCACATATCAGTCATTGTAAGTAAATTTTTCCTCAATAAAGTAGCTATCAGCAAAGTCAGAGCTAGTATTGGGGAAAAGAGTAAAGTGAGAGTGTTAGTTCACGAAAGGCTTTTTTTTGGCTCTATATTTTATAGGATTAACTCCCCACCTGCCCTGCCAGCCAGTTGGATATTCTGCAGTTTCCCTGAGAAGCCTAGAAGGGCTGCTTTACATAATCATAAGCAGTTTTGTGTGCATCATTAATTCAGTCCTGACTAAAGACATTTAATCATTCCTGGGAGGAGGAGGAGGAGGAGGATGAGGCACGGGCTGGGCTACCAGTAGTGAGTGGTAGTGGAGATACTAACCAGTCATGTCATGCAGGCACATAATGGAGCAGCTCTGACTCAAGTGAACCTTGTTCACGTTTCTTTCTCTTTCCATACCTTGAGATGAACACTCAGATGCTTTGCTTGGCCCAGTGGGGAGGGGAGGTCAGCCTCATGTGACCAGCCTGCTGCCTACTGCCCCCAGGGATTGATATGTCATCTTTCATTCAGATCACGGCTTCGAAGCAGGAATTGGAACGGACCCATGCATGCAAAGCTGAATTGTATATGAATCGATGGACAGCGATGGACATCCTCCGGACATCCACCCTCGGCTGACCATGGAAAGTACTATCATGTGCAGGTGGAAAAACAATACCCTATGGCCAGTGTACCATGGCCATGGCTCGCAGGTCTATAGGCATGTGAGACCAAGTCGAACATCCCTCTCCAGTTATACTGAGCAGCATTTTGTCCATGTTTTTCCCTTAATCCTTCATGTACTTTAGCTGAAGGAGGACAGTAACCGAAAGGTTGCTGGATCAAATCCCCGAGCTGACAAGGTAAAAATCTGTCGTTCTGCCCCTGAGCAAGGCAGTTAACCCACTGTTCCCCGGACACCGATGACGAGGAGGTCGATTAAGGCAGCCCCCCGCAACTCTCTGATTCAGAGGGGTTGGGTTAAATGCGGAAGACACATTTCAGTTGAATGCATTAAGTTGTACAACTGACTAGGTATCCCCCTTTCCCTTTCCCATATAGCCATTGTCCTTCCATTTCTCTGGGTTAGCCACACCTGGCTTGGGTGTCCACAGCACACCTGTCTGTCATTGGTCCACCCACAGGACACATTAGAGTCTAGACCCTAATCACCATTAGGCATGAAAAATACTCACTAGAGAGGACTACAGACTGACTCCATGGGCTCTGTGCTTAATGAGCAGAAACATAATTTAATTATGCTTGGAAAGGAGTTTGAGGAGTAGGGCACTGTTTTATCCATTGTGAGATTGCAGAGGAAAAATTCAAATAAAAATTGAAGCGAGCTGGATTGTGACCCATACACCTGCTGTTCTTTGCTGAAACTGTATGAGGGCTCTCACATTGGGTCCAATGCTAAAATGTGAAAGTGGAGAATGTAGTGGCCCTATTCTCTGCTCTGCAGCGCTGGAAAGAGTTTACTTAAAGGGGAATGTCAGAGAGATGCACACTGACAAGAGCACAGAGGAGCCCAGCCTGCATCCTCCCAGGCACAGGGCTAACACTACACTGCACACACACACACACACACACACACACACACACACACACACACACACACACACACACACACACACACACACACACACAAATCAAAAACACATATGTTCAGTCTCACCGGGAAATGCTCAACACGTAGGCACAAGTTTACACAAATTCAAATGCAGAGACAGAAAAATCCCTCATTGCCCTGAGCTGAGCCCGTCTATTAATTAAATGTAATTCATCCCTATCATCATTGTGTTGGTCGACATGACTAGGCAGCTGCCAGCACAGCAGATAAGAGGGCCGCTTCTGCGCATTCAGAGTTTCAACATCTAGCCTTGTCCTGTCAATATCTGGCCCTTTCAAATGGCCATCCTACATGCAATCTTATTTGCATTGGAAAGCAACTGCTAACAGTGGGTTGATCTTAGAATAACTATAGCTGACATTGTGGATATTAAGACTCAGCAACAGCAGAGGTTGAGGCTTGGTCAAATAGAATTTCTTAAAACACTGAGTTGAATAAAGTCGGCTCATGTTTCCTCTCGTACCTGCAAACATCTGCAGTTTATCTGAGTACTGCAGCAATACGAAAGGGATGCTCTTTCACTGGCAATGCAGATTAATTCCATATCAATTAAACTAAAGCGTGCCATAGACATAAAGCTAGAGGACAGCTTTCTCTGCGCCCGCAGCATTTTGCCTAGACTCTGGGTTTAAAAGACATTCCATTTGACAACCGTCCCCCCTAAACTATCAGCCTGTATGAAGAAGCTGTAATGATTTTAATTATTCACCCCACACAAACACGAACCAGATACCATGTGTTTATGCATGTAAATACCACCTCTAAAATGCTAATTGCTTTTACCTTTCTTTATTTTTTAAGAACACAGTAGACATTTTGTACCAAATAAATACATTTGTTGGGTAGGGGAGAGTGGGGTAAGTTGTGCCACCCCTTGTGTATGGTTTCCTAGAAACAAGGGGTGGCTCAACTAACCCTTTGGCTCAACAAAGTATAACACCAGAACCAAAGTGTAATTTTGACCCCTCACGCCCTACCTCTTCCTAAATATGTAATATTTAGGAAAAGCAAGAGGTCTTCCTAGAGTCTGTGAAGGAAGAAACCACATGGAAAAATGGTAAGCAAGATTTTCAAGTAAAATAAATGTATTGCGTTATAGGTTTCATGATGCTTGTATCTAAAATTAAAATATATTGGTTTTAGGCAAGTTCCTTGGAAGTTGTGGGAAGGCATATTTTTGGTTTGACATTGGTAGTGGGAACGAAGCCATTCGTTTCCTGATTTTTTTTAAACAGACGTCAAGACTTCACCTGTTCTGGGAAAATGTATTACGTTTTCCTGGTAGGTTTTATTAACGCTCTGAGAACAGAAATGATAGGTTATTTGGAGGTTTTTGAATAACTTTCATAAAACGTTCCCTGAATGTTTCAATAAGACTCCAACCACAGATAGGACACATGGAAATTAATTTCCTTAGGCATTAATGATGCGAACACATTTATTTTTTATTGTGACACGACATCAGTGAGATTCTACAATCTATAATTCTATCATCTTCTGTCCTCTATCCATGGAATTAGTCCACTGTGCCACCAGGATGGAGCTAGCTTCCCATGTTTCTTTACGCATACACAAAAGCTGTTCATTTGAGTCTATTCAAACAGACCCCATTTCAAAGTAAACAAGTACTCATTAAGATCAGGTGTGGCCAATTAGTGGGCGCGGCCAGCACATTTAAATAATTATTAAATTATTATTAAAAAATGCGATTTTCCTGTACTTTATATACAGGTAACTGCCAAAATAATGGAAATACTTGAGTACATAAGGCATACAAACTATATTGAAAGCAGATGCTTCCACATAGGTGTGGGTCCTGAGTTAATTAAGCAATTAACATCCCAACATGTTTAGGGTCATGTCTAAAAATGCTGGGCAGGCCATTATTTTGGCTACCATGGCTATGCCCCCATAGCATGTCAATGCCCCCATCCACAGGGCACGAGTAGTCACTGAATGGTTTGATAAGCATGAAAACGATGTAAACCATATGCCATGGCAGTCTCAGTCACCAGATCTCAAACCAATTGAACACTTATGGGAGATTCTGCAGCGGTGCTTGAGATAGTATTTTCCATCACCATCAACAAAGAATGGTATCGCATCCCTCCAATAGAGTTCAAGACACTTGTAGAATCTATGCCAAGGTGCATTGTAGCTGTTCTGGCGGCTAGTGATGGGCCAACGCCCTATTAAGACACTTTGTGTTAGTGTTTACTTTATTTTGGCAGTTACCTGTATATCACCACATTATGAGGTTGGAATATTATTGTGAAATTGTGAAAATGATGATGATGCCCTTTTAGTGTAAGAGCTGTTTGAAAAGAACACCTGAAATTCCTGGTTTGGTGGGATGGAGTTTTTCACAAGGCCGTAAATTAGTTCATAGACCTATAAGAACAGACCAATAAGAAAGAGTTCCAAACCTCTCTGCCAATAACAGCTAGTTTTCAGTTTTCCCCTCCCCACTCAGACCCCTCCCAGAGGGTCCTAGCAAAATTCTTCCTTGAGAAATTGCTCTTTGCTAAGAAGCCATTTTTGTTAATTTCTGACCATTTTAATTTAAAACAGTAAGGTACTTAATTGTTAACCCAAAATTATTTGATATTGAAGATAAAAACTGCTTAGTTGGACCATTAACAAGATAGTGGTCCTCTGTAGCTCAGCTGGTAGAGCACGGCGCTTGTAACGCCAAGGTAGTGGGTTCGATCCCCGGGACCACCCATACACAAAAAATGTATGCACGTATGACTGTAAGTCGCTTTGGATAAAAGCGTCTGCTAAATGGCATATTATAGAGAATAGAGATAGTTTTGTTGATGCTGAGAGCGGAATGTACACTACATGACCAAAAGCTCGTCGGGGGAGGTTCTCTTCTGCACTGTTCAACCAATCCAGTAAATGTGGTGGAGGAGTTCATATGGAGTGTCGCCTTGATAACGTCCAAAAGGAGAAGTCACGTCACAGGCGCTCTAGTGTGACTGGGTAAGACACATATGTACAGTTGAAGTCGGAAGGTTACATACACTTAGGTTGGAGTCATTAAAACTTGTTTCTCAACCACTCCACACATTTCTTGTTAACAAACTATAGTTTTGGCAAGTCGGTTAGGACATCTACTTTGTGCATGGCACAAGTAATTTTTTCAACAATTGTTTACAGACAGATTATTTCACTTATAATTCACTGTATCACAATTCCAGTGGTAGAAAGAAACACAGCTCAGCTTCCTATTGGAGTCTCCAATTCAGCCTAACATAGAACATAACTAATGGTGAGTAGGTGTTAGTTGACAAGGTTGAAAATCTTGTTCCCTCTTATTCAAATCACTAGAACAGAGAGCTTCTGCTGATGGGACCCTCCTGCGCTATTGTTTGATCTTTACTGAGCATGGAAGGATCATTATATAAATCGCCAGGGGGAAATTTGGTTATAATAACTTAAGAGAACAACTTCCATCAATCTCAAACTAATAAAGCTTTAGAAGGCAGCCCATTTAGAGTACGGAGCTGTTTAAATAATAATTGTATTGACAAGCCTGATTTTCATCCTCTACAGCCCACTGCCAAATACAGAACAAAACAATCTGAATGGTTTAGGCTAGATGCTGTGTTATTCATGTCCATCAACTCATACTGTATGTCTGAGTGATTCACATCAATCATATACAAAATATAGAGGATGACATGTAATCACTAATATGCAAAAAGGAGCTGTCAAGGGGGAAAATTAACATACAGTGTAACTATATTCAACTCTGCATGAAACCCTGCTCCTTCCTGTATGCAATCTAATACCAGGACACATACATTCTTTATATACCATGGCCCCATTTTCTATAAATCACCATCTGATATCCAAGTTCCGAGCTTCCACACTGCACCTTCACCCAAGAGTTTAGTTGGATACCTGTAATTAAGTTTTCTTAATGTCCTTACACCTCATTCTCTGTCTCAGATCCACAGTGACTAAGGTCTGTGACTATGGTCTGTCCTACCTATACTTCATGCCGGTCCGTATGCTCTGGTCGCTGGACGTGGGCTGGCTCTGGACAGTGAGATGTCCCAGACTACGGGCCACCATGGCCACAGCCCTGAACTTGCTGCGGGTGCCTGTGTTAGGGCTGTTGGCATTCTGGCGGTGGTTGAGCCGTTCCTCTGTGCTGCGGCTTACCCCTCCACGGTTGTGGTCTGTACACACTAACGACACCTGCATCCTGGCTGGGACTGGGAGCCGCCCGGGACACGGCTTTAGGTGCTCTGGTTAAAACTTGTGGTGGGTCAGTCTGTAACACACGGCTCCTTTCAGTCTGGATAGTCTCTTGGTCAGGTCAGTGTTAGGGTGGTCTGCTATGTCTGCAGAGACAAGAGAAGAGGAGAGGAGCTGAGGATAATTATCGTCTTCCGAGGGTTTCCTGCTTCAACACAGCCTCAGCCTGTGTGGGTCTCTCTGCTTTGTCTGCTACAGAAACCAACAGACTGCAGGCACAGGAACACTGTCCCGGTCCTGGCACAGACACAAAAACAGACGAAGACGCACCCTCCAAAAAAGGTACAGTGTCCTGCGATGAGAGGAGCAGTTTAACAAATCTCCCTTTGCAGTCACGACTGGCTTGTCCTCGATACATCCGTCTGTCTCAGTCAAGCTTTCTGTAGTAATCAGAGGCTCATCACAGACTGACGGGCAGATTTAATCGTCCTGCAATTTCCTTTTAATCTAGAGCTCAGTGCTACAGATAACACCGAGAATGAAGACACATGAACACAAAGAGATGATGAACTATTCCAGGAGGTAAAATTCTGATCCTTTACAATGTCCACAGCAGCAGCAGCTGTCCTGGTCGTGTGAATACTCAGCAGCTCTGTTTGTCAATCAGAGAGCAACCTCTTGTTCACTGACTCCCATCCCTCCGCTGTCTGCCGGATTAAACGTACATGTGTATGCCTAGCGCATGGCACAAAGAGGCAAAGTGAGTGCAGGCAGGAGAAGAGGAGGAGGCAGAAGAGAGAGGGTGGGAGGGATATGGAGAGATGCTATGGAGAGGGGTACAGTGGCACGCAAGCGAGAAAGAGCGAGAGAGCGACAGATAGAGGCAAGAGAGAGAGCTCTCAGTGTCCGCAGCTGCTGTCATAGGAGAGGCTGGTTGGTGTATTTTTTGATCCACTTCTCATCTACCTCTCTGTTCCATCATGGCTAAGTCAGGTTCAGCATGGCTCTGTAACTGTGGCAGAGTGTGGTCTAATCAGGTCCAGTATGGTACAGCTTGGTCCAGTCAGGTTCAGAGTGGTCCAGTGTGGTTCAGTTAGGTTCAGTGTGGCTGACAGTAGTTCAGCATGGTCCAGTGAGTTCCAGTCAGGTCTAATGTAGTTCAGTAGTTCATCTTCATCGAGTCAGTCAGGTGAGCGAGCCTTAGGAGCAGGCTGAATGCGCAGGGCTGCAGAATGGACTCTGGCCCCAGACCAGGGGGCTGCTCTAAAATGGGAGGGCAATGGGGGATGAAATATTTATTATGTAACTTTATCTGACCTGATATGTCTAAGCAGGGAGTGTCACAGGCACATTACAGCTGAGTTTGCTGCATTGTTGTGTGTCTCCCCAGTTCCCACTCCAACTGAAACATGGCAACAGCCTTAAAAGGATACTTCAGATGACCATTTTTATGTCTCTGTGTGAGGTTTGAAGGAAGTTGCTAGCTAGTGTTAGTGCAATGACTGGAAGTCTATCGGTATCTGCTAATACAACTCATTCTAAATTGGATTTCACGCCTGTCAGAAGAAGCAACTGGGGGGGACAGGCCCATTGAGAGATGCTGTCCCATCTCCTCTCATTGAAAGTGACTGTGTAGGGTAGATGGGCCGCTGTAATGCTCCTTCTACAAAACATTTATTGTGATTCCCGGCAACAGCTGTGGTGGAGGCCATTGGGTCCCTGACTGCAACACGCTCAAAGTGACGGGGTCATAGGGTTGTTCTAGAGGCTCTGGTCAGGGTGAGGGTGAGGGTCAAGGTGCCTGACTGGAGGGCAGGGTGCTGGGGAGCCCTCTCCTGTCCTGGAGTAAAAAGAGCATGAGAGCAGCCGCCCCCACACCCCTCATCCCACACCCCTCAGGGGACAAGCTGGGGACAGTGTACAGGGAGGGGACAGGGGCTCAGGCTGCCCAGGTAGTGTCAACATGTAATCCAACACCAGCCCACTCACCACACCAGTCCCACCCCAAACCCCACCCCACCCCACCCCTGGGGCTCCTCCTGGTCATATCCACTGAGCCTCTGACCTGGGGGTGGCTATTGTTGCTGAGAAGTGAGTGATCTGCTGTAATTATTACACCACATAAGGCTTTTATTGGTTGTTGATTTATCAGGGCATGAATGTGTGCAACCGAAGCAGATCGATAAAAGCATGCTAGCAGATACCCATAGACTACCAGTCATTGTGGTAACGCTAGTTAGCATTGGCTCACGAAACTACCTCTAACTTCCTCCATACTGGACACAGAGACATCAAAATAGTCTCCACGAGTTCATCAGACTCTGGGGAAGTAAAGGGCCTCAATGGCAAAATCCCGAAGTATCCCTTTAACTGAAAATAAATTATTCCTGGCATATTTATTCACTTGAATAATTTTGTTACATCAATAAGACAGAACAATACAGAGAAAGAACATAGCCTGTATCCAATTACTGCCTGCATGGCGACATGCAATTGATCTGTAAGACAATGACCGTGTTCAGGGGGACTTAGTGAGTGGATGAGCTTGGCTTAATATAATAATGGTGGAAAGTCACAGTAAACACTGTGGTAATAAGAGTCAACACACTATTGGTTGAAGGAGTGAGGAGACAGTAGTGGCATGCGTTACAAGTAATCTAATACTGAACCTTATCTAACCAGGCCCATGCAGCCAGTTGTTTCTGCTGGGGCAGATAATTAAAAGACATGTCGTGAGGAACAGGCAAGCAGTAAGGCAGAGTGGAAAAGCAACCTCCATCAAAGGAATCCAGCAGACAAGCTGCAGCCAACTGACAGGCCTATTCTTAGAACCCTAACCTTTTGCTCCAGGACTTAAATATAATCTGGTGGAGTATAGAGTGCTTTAATACAACTCATTCTAAATTGGATTTCACGCTCATCAGAGGAAGCACCTGTGGGTGGGGTGGGGTTTGGGGTGGGACTGGTGTGGTGAGTGGGCTGGTGTTTATTACATGTTGACACTATCTGGGCAGCCTGAGCCCCTGTCCCCTCCCTGTACACTGTCCCCAGCTTCTCCCCTGAGGGGTGAGGGGTGTGGGGGCGGCTGCCCAGGTAGTGTCAACATGTAATCCACACCAGCCCACTCACCAGTCCCACCCCAAACCCCACCCCACCCCTGGGGCTCCTCCAGGTCATATCCACTGAGCCTCTGACCTGGGGGTGGCTATTGTTGCTGAGAAGTGAGTGATCTGCTGTAATTATTACACCACATGAGGCTTTTATTGGTTGTTGATTTATCAGGGCATGAATGTGTGCAACCGAAGCAGATCGATAAAAGCATGCGCCATCCGACAGGCCAGCAATCCATCATGTTAATGGATCAATATAATAATAGTATCTGATACATTGCTTCTATTTTGCTTTTATTGGGAAACACAACCAGGTGGAATAGATTTCAAGATACACATGGTATACACCGTCCAACGAAATGCTTACTTGCAGGTTCCTTCTCGACAATGCAACAATAATAAATAATAAAAGATAAGAATACGAACATAAAATAAATGGTTCAGTAGAACATAATAAACATTTTAAGCATAACTATAATACAGGAAGGTACCATTTATAGTCCAATATTTACACATTTTGTGGAAGTATTTAGCAATCATAATAGATGCAAGCTTTCCTGTTTTTTCAAAGATTGTTGAGGACCAATATTGTTAGGTAGCAGTACTGAGTTTACACTCAGATGTAAATTTGCCAGACAAAAGCACCACACAAATCACTGCACAAAACTGTAGGCCTACTATATCATATCATGCACAGAGATGGTGGTGACAGGAACCAGAGCGACACACATCATGATGAGCTGGGGTGACTCTCCGCTAATAGAGTCACACTTAGTCAGTGTAACACAGTAAGCACGCCTGTCTCAGAGAGTTTATAGAGGGCTAAATGGAAAAACTAAAGTCTGTTGGAATAAATATGCATGCCCACACACAGGGTGAGCATCTCAATAGTCCACACTGGCTTCCTCTCCTGGTCTCCACATTCTGGATGGAACACCCACAGCAGTGGTCAGAACTGGGCAAATGCCACATAGGCCTACAGCAGCAACCGTCCATCACCACTTCCTATTCATTCTAGCACTCAGAAGCACTCAGTCTTCTGCTCCAACACATAGACCTAATGACGATGCCTCTTCTCTCTACTCCTGGGCCTCGTATTCCTGTAAGTTGCGAAATAAATCAACCATATGGGACTTGAAACAAAACATAACCCAAAAAGATACGCAGGAGGAGGCACACACTTTGATATGCTTTGGGCTTTATTTGAAAAACATTGATCCTTAAATTAAGCCTTTTAGGTATTACACAATAATGATTAGAATGGTTATATCATACTCTATTACAGAGTACTGGCACTGCAGGCCTGAATAGATTTAACAATAAAATATTGAAAACCTCCATTGCATTGTGTTCAAGTATTTTGATGGGCTTGCTAAGGGATACATTTATTCCCTAGATATTTTAATCTTAAGATAAAGCACACTGTTCTGGTGGAAGAGGTACACCTATCACATAGAACCATCCTTACCTTGAATAAAGAACCAACTATTGATGTCTTTTGTTGGTAGATTTGAAGAGAAGGTCTTGATGGCATTTGATATTCTATGTCAGTCAGCAAATCAACAAAGCCCCTACCTAGAGAAAGAAATCCATTATCTCCCTCCCTCTTCCCTTTAGACTCCCCACGTCCTCCCTTACGTTGTGGCCTCTGCCTTATCTTTTTCATTAAGAGCCCAACCAGTGCTTATCCCACTACTAAAATGCTACAATACCTCCTCGACACTGAATCATTCTGAGAGAGTGCAGTGTGCTGATAGGGCCTACACCACTCACTGTGAGGGAGAGGAAGGGGAGAGAGGGGAGCTTGAGAGCAGTGGTGGAAAAAGTACTACATTTCATACTTGAATAAAAGTAAAGATACCTTAATAGAAAATGACTCAAGTAAAAGTGAAAGTC